GGATCTTAGAGCAATTAATGCAGTCATGAAAGACATGGGACCTTTACAGCCTGGTCTGCCCTCACCTGTGGCTGTGCCACAGGATGGCATATAATTGTCATAGATTTACAGGATTGCTTTTTTACCATTAAACTTAACCCCTCAGATAGTAAATATTTTGCCTTTAGTGTTCCCTCAGAGAATTTTAAACAACCTTTTAGGAGGTATCAATGGATTACTTTACCACAAGGAATGAAAAATTCACCCACACTATGTCAAAAATTTGTGGATCTGGCCTTACAAAAAATAAGACAGGAACATCGTGATTTGTATCTTATTCATTATATGGATGACATACTTTTGGCTCATAAAGATAAAACCCAGCTGGAAAAAAAAATATTAGAAGAAACTATAGAGACACTGACTATATATGGTCTAGTAATAGCCCCTGATAAGATGCAAAGAGATAGGCCTTTGAATTATTTGGGTCAAATTATTAAAGAAGGTTATATTACTTCTCAAAAGGTTTCCATTAGAAGAAATCAATTAAAGACTTTAAATGATTTTCAAAAACTATTAGATGATATTAATTGGCTTAGACCTTACTTAAAAATTACTACAGGAATGCTAAGCCCTTTATACCCCATTCTTCATGGTGATTCAGATCCAACATCTAAACGGGAATTGACAAAGGAAGCTATTGAGGCTTTCCAATTAGTAAAACAAGCCTTAACTGAAGCTAAAGTCAAACAGATAAATTATAAAAAACCTTGGTCTTTACTAATTTTTGCAACTTCCTATACACCTACTGCCTGCCTTTGGCAGGACGGGGTGTTGGAATGGTTACATTTACCACACACTCAAACAAAAATGTTAGCTGATTATCCATATTTGTGTTCCCTGTTAATTTGCAAAGGCTGCAATCGATCTAGGGAATTATTTGGCAGAGAGCCTCATATTATTATCATTCCTTATAATAAGACACAATTAAAAAATTTATATCAATTTAATGAAGATTGGATATTGACATTACAAAATTATACAGGCCAAATATTATATCATTACCCTAGACATCCCATAATAAAATTTGCAAGGCATGTGGAACTGATATTTCCTGTCTGGTTCTCTCACAGCCCCCTAGATCATGCTGTAAATATTTTTACAGACGGCTCTTCCACAGGAAGAGCTGCAGTTTTTACCCAGACACATGGGCTGTGGGTAGAGGAAGGAGAGAAGACTTCTGCACAGCAAGCAGAAATTAGAGCTGCTATTTTAGCTTTTGAGAAGTTTCCTCAAGAGCTTAACCTTTTTACAGATTCAAAATATGTAGCTAATTTGTTTCCAGCATTAAAAACTGCTCTTTTATCAGGGAAGTCCCCTATTTTACCATTTTTACAAAAATTGCAAAATTTGGTACACAATAGATCACAAAAATTTTATGTACACATATGTACACAAAAATTTTATGTACACAAAAATTTTATGGACACATAGCAAATTACCTGGCTCACTGGCTCAAGGAAATGCTATGGCAGATCTACTAACACAGAATTCTTTAGGAGCCTTTACTATACAAAAAGCTCAACAGAGTCATACAATACATCATCAGAATGCATCTGCTTTGAGGAAAATGTTCTCTATAACAAGAGAACAAACAAGACAAATAGTGAGGGAATGTACACATTGCCCTCCTATACACCACCCACAAAAAATGGGTGTAAACCCTAGAGGTTTAAAACCAAATGTCATTTGACAAATGGATGTGACTCATATCTCCTCCTTTGGTAGGATGGGATATGTCCATGTTACAATGGACACCTATTCTCACTTCACTTTTGCCTCAGCCAGGACTGGAAAAGCAGTCAAAGATGTAGTTCAACATCTCATACAATGTTTTCAGATTATGGGCCTTCCATCACAAATAAAAACAGATAATGGGCCTACATATACTTCAAAAACATTTAAACAATTTTACAACCAGTGGGGAATTGCTCATATTACAGGAATACCCTATAGCCCACAGGGACAAGCTATCATTAAAAGGACTCATCAAAATCTGAAGTTACAAATAGAAAGGTTGCAAGCCTCAAATGGGTACTTTACTCCTCATCACATTTTGTCACATGCCCTATTTGTGCTTAATCATCTTAATACTAATGACAAAGGACTCACTGCAGCCCTAATTCATTGGGATCGTGAGTTCCACAGTACGCCTTTACCATTGGTGTACTGGAAGGATTTATTGTCTGACACATGGAAGGGACCGGATGTCCTCATAACCGCGGGACGAGGGTATGCTTGTATTTTTCCACAGGATGCCGATTCCCCCATCTGGATCCCGGATCGCCTTATCCGACGTGCAAAGGGAGAAAAGAAGGCGCAAGCGCCGCTGGAGGAAGCAACAGAAAAAGCTGGTGACGGAAATGAAAAAGATAAAACTCGGCAGCGAGAAACCAAAAGTGATTTGGTCACAGATTCGGCTTCTGACTCAGAATACAAAAAAGCTCTTAATTGAACAGGGAAAACCCCTCACCGCTTCATTTTATTTCATTGCCTTTTTGTCTTTGATCTCTGCCCCGCTACCGGTAGCTCAGGGAGTTTCCTATTGGGCATATGTTCCTAATCCCCCGATTATTCAGCCAGTAGGATGGCTTGATCGGGAACCCATCAAAGTGTTAACAAATGATTCAGTCAGGTTGGGTGGAGCTCAAGATTCTGACGCCCGAAACAGCTCCTCCTCTTTAATAAATTTTGAGGGCAGAGCAGATTCACTACCAATCTGCCTAACACTACAAGGGAAAGTGCCTTACGGCTGCTTTCCGACATCTTACAGAACCTTCCTGACTGACGGTCCAGACAAAGCGAGTGCTGGTAGGCGATGGGTTTGAGAGCTACGGATACAAACTTTAGGAGACAGACTGTATAGAGATAATTTTACTCAAGTTAATACTATTCCTATAACTCCTTGCATTCAAAAATATAGAGACAAGGATCAATTTTGGGATTCTTCCTTGTCCAAGTTTCCAGCTTGGTTGACTTGTGGCTTTCCTAATGCTGCTGCGTGGTATGAACCACGGGGGTCGTTGGATGTGCTTCAAGTTTGGGACTACTCTAATTCTAATGACAAAGGAGAGACTTATAAAAATTACTTGAATACTCATAAAGAGAAATTTCATGAGTATGTCTTTAAGGGACATGGAGAGCCCCTTAGGAGATGGTTCTCTCCAGGCCTTGTCAAACCTACATGGTTTACAAAACAAGGCAACATCACTAAAAAACATTCTGATTTATTTAGGCTTGTTACAGCTGCCAACATGATGCTAGAGAAAAAGCCTAACCATACTCAACCAGAGGCCATTGGTCTTCGAGCCTGCGTATCCTACCCTAATGCTTTACTCTTGGCACAATCTTCCTTTGTTAATATTTCACGAGGTGATAATTCATTTCAGATAATTTGTAGTTCTTGTAAATTAACAAATTGTATCACTTCCTCGGAGCCGAAAGATTTGGAAACTGTGATTATAGTTCGGCGACCTCCTTTTGTCATGTTGCCTGTGGAACTAGGCCCTGAGCCTTGGTATGATAATTCAGCCTTACAAGTATTAAATACTTTGAGAGATTTGATTCGGCCAAAACGGTTTGTTGCTGCATTATTTTTGGGCATTACTGCATTAATTTCTATAATTACTACTTTTGCTGTTGCAACTACAGCTCTAGTTCAAGAAATTCATACTGCTCATTATGTGAATACTCTTAATAAAAATATTACTATGGCTCTGCTCGAGCAGGAGGCTATAGATAAAAAATTAGAGTCAAAAATTAATGTTTTAGAAAAAATGGTTTTGGCCTTAGGACAAGATATTTCTAACCTTAAGGCCACAATGTTTGCTCGCTGCCATGGTAATTTTAAATCCATCTATGTTATTCCATTACCTTATAATACTTCTCAGCCTTGGGAAAAGGTCAAGGCCCACCTGCAAGGTGTCTGACAAGATACAGATATTACTCATGATTTAGATACACTTCAGAAAGACATCTCAGCTATGAGTCAGACCCATTTACAGATAGGAGGTTTACAAGACCTAGCTTCAAAAATAAAAAAGGAAATCAAAGATTTAAATCCGATGGATTGGCTACAATATTTTATAGTCATTGGAGTGCTTATTTTACTGGTGGTGCTTGTCATCTTTCTTTTCCCTTGTCTCATTAAATGTCTCTATACTTCTGTAAAAACAGTACAACAAGACGTGTTTGAGCTTCATTTTAAAAACAAAAAAGGAAAAACTGCTACGCCCACAGCTGTGACACCTGTGTAGCTGTAGCAAAGCATGCCGCTGCGCTGGGGTCCAGCAGCTGAAGGGTTGAGGTTGAAGCTTCCTGGAGCGGGGCCTCAGGCAGTTCCCCCGCAATCAGCAGTCGCCATGCAGCCTGAGGATTCCAGGAGGCCCTGGAGGACAAGATGACCTTGGCGACAGTCCTTGTTGGCACTAATCATGCTTTTTCTCTGTATGTCTTTTCTGTGGGGGGGGGGGCGTTGGTGGACAGCCCCTAGGTGGACCCCTGAGAGTGGAAATTACCTAGAGCTGCTCCCATATACGGGAGGCTATGATGAAGTTGGGAATAGATGAGTGAATCATGAAGGAAAGAAACAACTTTGGAGTGATTTGCCTTTTATGGAAAGGCTAGCCAGGACTAGAAAGCCTTGGTGCCTTTATAGTAAAGAAGAAAGACAGCAGATCATAGAAAATATGAAGCCAGTCCTAAGGTATTGGTATAGAAGGGTATATGACAACTGGAAGGATAAGTGGATATATAGGAGTGAGGAAGAAATACATGATATTATACAAAAGTATATAGAGGGTGAGTTAAACCTTGGCTGGTAAAAATCTGGTTCCCACAGATGTGGTCTTTGGCGTGAGACAGATTTCACAAATTTCTGAGATCATGCCCTTAAGCAACAACTGCAATGAACTCCAAGCTGCGGAAGTGATACACAGAAATAGATACTGATGTACTTTGTTATTGTCTCTTGCATTACACAGAAATAGATACTGATATACTTTGTTATTGTTTTTTGCTGATTCTGAAGTAATTGTAAAAGTTAAAAGTCTGATGTAACCCCCTGCCAAGTTCCTTGATTGTAAAAGAATATAAGCACTGATTTTGCAGAAGTAAATCTGCAGCAGCACATCAACACATTGTGTGTCTGTCTGTCATTTTCCTCGCTGATTCCTGACTTCTCCTCGAGCCTTCTCCCTGGTTCTCCCGCAGTGGTGGTCTCCCTCTGGGTGGTCTGCGGCAGGGATTCAAACTCTGGGCTTCAGGCTTGCCTGGCAAGTGCTGTAACCACAAAGCCGTCTATCTCCCCAGCCCAAATTTAATGGAAGCATTTTAGTTCCTAAAATATATGGTCGTTAAAGAAGGGATTCTGAGTTATTGGGGGTGTAACTCAGTTGGTAGAGTGCTTGCCTAGCATGCGTGAGACCCTGGGTTCCATCTTTAGCACTGAATAAACTGGGCATGGGAGCAGATGGTATGCCCTCCTAGTACTTTTGAGGTGGAGGCAGGAAGATCAGAAGGTCAAGGACATCCTCAGCCTGGGATGCATGAGACCCTGTAAAACACACACACACACACACACACACACACACACACACACACACACACACACACACACTCACACACACACTCACACAGAGAGAGACAGAGAGAATTGAGTAAGCATTATACTGGCTGCTTTTTCATTAAATGGGTAAAACAGTTTTAGTCAGTTCTTTGTGAGGTTTATATTATCTTAATTTAGAAATGTATCAAACAATTGGCCACAGGTAACTTTCCACAGTAGAGAAGACATCATCAAGTAACTCTTTGCACTCACATCTGAGAAGCACCCTGAAGTGATTTTAAAACTGTGAAGTGTGCGAAAGTGAGGCCATCGTAACCGATCATCCGTATGTGGACACAGCCATGTCACACGTGTGTGGATTCTTTCGTGACCCCTGTGAGCATTGTGATTTCCAGTGGCCATTAAACGCTAGACACTATTGTCTGGTTAATTACGAGATGTGTCCCATATTCCTAGTTCTTTCTTACACGGATTCAGATTTATGACAGTGGGTATTTCATTTGGAAACTACAGATATTTATTAGGGGAAAAAAGCATTTTGTCCTTTCGGTCACGGGTCCCTCCTCTACCGCATTCTGACTGAGGTGTTATCTTGATGGTCGCAGCACATCGACCTTGGGATTTCCAGGGGCGAAGGGGCCAGTGTTACAGTCTGTTCACGAGGATGTGAAGGAGATCAACTGTCTGGGTTTGAATTCTACCTCTTTAATATATATGTATTTACATGTCATTTCTCATTCTCTCCCCCCACCCTCCACAAGTAATTGAATTGACTTATTTTTTTTTTAACTTGTAAAATGGAGACAACAATAGCATCCATTTCTGGGTTAGTGTGAGGACTATGAGAAAATACGTAACAAGAATAATTAGTGGCACACAAATATATTATGCTGATAAATATTTTGACATTTTTGTTGTGTGTACTGTAGATCAAACCCCAGCCAGGTTTTCTCTTTTGAGACAAGTCTTGCTGTGTAGCACAGGCTAGCCTCAAACTCATAACCCTTCTGCCTTGTCTCCCAAGGGTGGGATTATAAGCATGCACCACCTCTTTCAGCTCTGGTAGCATTTATCTGAGTCTAGGAATGTGTCCTAAGGAAATAATAATTCAAAATTTAGAGATGTTGCAGTTCTTGTCATAATGGTTAAAATTAGAAATAACCAGGAGACTTCATCTGGGTCCTCAAAGTCGACGTGACCTCTCTTCCAGTTCTCCTTCGTCATCATCATCTTCTGTCCATCAGCTGATATCTGTGTCTCTTGCAGTTCCAGCTGGTGGACAAGTAGGTGAGTGACCTCTCTGTCAACTTCTCATCTGCTGCTTTCCTGCTTTCCGGGGTGGGTTCCACTAGCCTGGAGGGAAGAACACGGGCAAGATAGGCAAGAGAAAGATTTCTCAGTTACCGGCTCTGTATTTAGAGTGCGGTTTCTACACAACTGGTTTTTAAGGTTTCTGTCCAAGGTTTTCTGAGTGATCTCTGGCTGCTGAAATAAATTCTTAGCACCGTGGTTTTCACCCTTCTTGATGCTGGGATCCTTTAATGCAGTTTCTCATGTTTGATGACCCCCTAACCATAAAATTATTTTGTTGCAACTTCATAACTGTAACTTTGCTACTGTTATGAATTGTGATGTAAATATCTGTGTTTTCTGATGGTCTTAGGTACCACTGTGAAGGAATCATTCAAACTCCAAAGGGGTCATGGCCCATAGGTTGAGAACCATTGGCCTCGTGAGCTCAGAAAAGCACAGAATTATGGGAAGCCAGAAGCAGTCCTGTTGGGCTGGTTTTTCTAGTAGCCCCCAAAACCTGTCCCTTTTATAAGAAAACAGAGAAAGGTTTTTCTCCTCAGATAGGAAGAGTTCAAGGGCTTGGGCCTCAGTTTCCAATGAAGAAGTGGATGGAGGTGCTTCCCCCCTCCCCGCCCTCACCCCGCCCCCCCAAAGACAGCCTAGCGCTGAGTATAGGGAAACTGTCTCAAGGCAGTTTGCTCTGGTTTGAAACCCCCCTTTATTAACACCAGTGATTTCATCACCAGCACCCAAATCCTAACGCCTGGATTGGGATCAAATAACCCAGAAAAGCTCCCACCGCAGTCTGGGCACTGGAAGGCTGGCCAGCTTCCTGGCTTTCCACTTGCTAATTTTTTCAAACTGAACACTTGTCCTTATGCTAGCCGTCCTTGACCAATCACTCGCACTTCCTGCTTTATCCCCACTTAGGGTTTTCTCTGTTGTTGTTCTTTTTCCGACAGCCAAGGTCACAAGGGCTGTGATCACCTTGCAGCCTCCATGGGTCAGTATTTTCCAGAAGGAAAATGTCACTTTATGGTGTGAGGGCCCCCACCTGCCTGGAGACAGTGCCACACAGTGGTTTATCGACAGCACACTCCTTCAGATCTCCACGCCTAGACACAGTATCACTAAAGCCACTTTCAAGGACAGTGGTGAATACGGGTGCCGGACTGGTCTCTCAATGCCAAGCGACCCTGTACAGTTGGAAATCCACAGAAGTAAGCATGGCATGGGCAGGAGGGCTGGGGATCCCAAGGTCTCCCTTTGTGTGGGTGCCAGAGTCCTCTCTGTCTCTCTTTCTCTCTGAGAATATATGTGAGACTTTATCTGAGTGAATGGATCAGCTCTAAGGACCCAGCAGGTCAAATCAAGTCAGTGTAATTAAAACATCACATCAAGGCCCTACGCACCCATATCTGGGACTAAGGGGGTCCAGCCCCTCGATAGCCCCCTTCCAGGGTCCGCGAAGAATCTACAACCAGCTGATAATTTAATATTTGATGAAAGGAAATGAATCTATATACACGAACTCCTCAGTCCATACACTTTATTCTTCTGAGTCAGTTCTCTCTCTACACAGCTTCTATTCTGCTCTCATGCCTAGCTCCTTTCTTGTCTGATTTCTCTCTACATTTATCTGCCATCTCCTCTAAGTTCTAACTTAATTCTCTCATCTTAGTTCTGCCCCATCTAGGATCTCATCCATCTAGTTCCTTCCCATCTTAGCTCCTCTCCCATCTCCTTCTTCCTCATCTTGTTCTTCCCTACCTGGCTCTTCCTCATCTTCCATCTTGTTCCTCTAGTACTCTCTTCTAGCCCTTCAATCTAGTTCTTCCCATCTAGTCTGTTCCTCTCCAGTTCTTACCCATCTAGTTCTTCTGTTCTCTTTTTTCCTCTCTCTCTCCTCCTCTCAGTCTCCTTATTCTCTCAGTTCTCTCTAAGTCTCTCAGGAATCCAGTTATAAACCCAAGCAATAGCAATCCTCCCCCTCCAGCCAGGTCACCAGGCTTGAATTCCTACAGGGTCATAGAGGTAGGTAAGAGTTTTCATCAGGCAGTGACCACCAGGCTTTCTTTTACAACCCAAAAGGGGAGTGGTAAAGGAGGAGGTCAACAGAGAGCTAATGATCGGTTGGTATATAAAGAAGGGGATCTATGTGCTCAGTCTACATCCCTAGAAGTAGTTAGGTGAGAAGTTAGGAGTCTATAATGTTAGTAATAGAAATGGAGGGTCTCAGATTGTACAAGAAATAAAGCTATCTGCCTGACCTAGGAACAGGCATTGTTTCCATAAGGGTGTTACCTTAGTTCAAGAGATTGTTTGGCCTTGGATGCTTGATAGGTATTTTAGATAAATACACTGTTAGGAGTTCTTGGAAGCACACATAGCATTACAAGAAAATCACTGTGGGAAACAGCTAATATATATACAAAAGCTAAAATATCACCAAGACTTCTTAAGCCATGGCTTGACCTTTGGAAAAGTCCTTGACTTTTCCAAGTAGTAGCCTTTTTTCCCCATTTTTTCTATTATCAGCTTGATACAGCACAAATTCTTCTCCTAATAGTGAAATGTTTCACTAAAGCTTGCCCAGTAATTGAGTAAAACCAAAACTTATTATAAGCCACAGTCATCCTAGGGTCCCCCCTGCTATGTAGCCTCCCTGGTTCTGTGGGTTGCAGTCTGATTGTTCTTTGCTTTATATCTAGAATCCACTTATGAGTGAGTACATACCATGTTTGTCCTTCTGGGTTTGGGTTACCTCCCAAAGCTTTTGTGACAGTAGCTGAATTCTATTACACTTTCCTGAGGCCTACAGCACACCCATGGCTCTCCAGCTGGACCAGTTTTGGATACAATGTATCAAGAAAAACCTCAGACTCTAATATTTTATCTTTGTCCAAAATTTATGCCAACATACCTCTAACTTCATCAACAGCAGCTTTTGTGTGTGTGTGTTTTGTTGTGTTGTTCTGACTCTGTATAGTGGCTGCACATTGTAGTTTTCATTTATATTTCTTTGGTGACTGTGGTATTGACCACTTTTAATGTGTTTATTACTTGTCTTTATAAAGCCTTTATAAGGAACCTGATGAGTCTTTTGGCCAATGTTTTTGTTTTTTATTTTTATTTGTGTGTGTGTGTGTGTGTCTGTGTGTCTGTATGCCGTGTGTGTAGGTACCTACCCTTGACAGCCAGAGAGATTGTTGGACCTCCCAGAACTGGAGTCACTGGCAGTTCTGGGAACTGAACTCAGGCCTTCTAGAGCAGTGGTTCTCAATCTTCCTAATGCTGGACCCTTCAATACTGTTCCTCATGTTGTGGTGACCCCCAACCATAAATTTTTTTTTTTTTTTTTTTTTTTTTTTTTTTTTTTTTTTTTTTTGGTTTTTCAAGACAGGGTTTCTCTGTGTAGCTTTGCACCTTTCCTGGAACTCACTTGGTAGCCCAGGCTGGCCTTGAACTCACAGAAATCTGCCTGCCTCTGCCTCCCGAGTGCTGGGATTAAAGGCATGCGCCACCACCGCCCGGCCAAAGTTATTTTCATTGCTACTCCATAACTGTAATTTTGCTACTATTATGAATTATAATGTAAATTTTTTTTGGAGATAGAGGTTTACCAAAGGGGTTGTGACCCATAGGTCAAGAATCACTGCTCTAGACGGCCAGCAAGCACTCTTAAGTGCTGAGCCGTCTCTTCAGCTCCCCACCCCATTAGCTCATAGGAATTCTTTATATATTCTGGGTTTCTCAAGTGTTGGGAATTTCTCTGCGGCGTGCCTTGTCAACGTTATGGTCCCCTGCCCCCAGGAAGGAACAAAAGTTCTTGACTGTCACCTAATTCTGGCTACTGCTCTCTCTATCCTGTTTATAAAATGGTTTGCCGTGGTTACATCAATGTTCAGCCACTTTCAGTCAGTCTGGGGATGCTAAGACCCTGGGTGTTAGACATTCCCTGGGAGGCAGAGAGGGGGGGGGGTAAAGGCAGCAAACTTCCAAGATGGCCAGCTTCTTCCCCATCTTCCTGGTATGAGACAAAATCCTGGCAGCCTAAAAAAATAGGCCTGGAGGGCTGTATTTGTTTCCTTATTTTCTGCCACCAGTTGGGCCCTCTGCTGATGGATTAGCCTAGGAGTTGAACAGGATCTGTTAATGCTTACAGAACAGCTGTGGGCCAGTCAGCCACCAATCCTAAATTAGGGGAGAAAGACTCATCAAAAACTTTTTATGGATTTATTTTATTTTATATTACATTATTTTATTTTGAGACAGGGTTTCTCTGTGTAGCCCTGGCTGTCCTGGAACTCTCTCTCTAGTCCAGGCTGTCCTTGAACTCACAGAGATCGGCCTGCCTCTCCCTCCCGAGTGCTGGGATTAGAGGCGTGCGCCACCACTTGGAGACTGGATTTTTAAGTCCTTAGCCCCACTACTGTGTGTTCAGAGGGTCTCTGTGTCCTTCTGTGTGTGTGCAGAGGGTCTCTGTATCCTTCTGTGTGTGTGTGCAGAGGGTCTCTGTGTCCTTCTGTGTGTGTGTGCAGAGGGTCTCTGTGTCCTTCTGTGTGTGCAGAGGGTCTCTGTGCCCTGCTATGTGTGCAGAGGGTCTCTGTGCCCTGCTGTGTGTGCAGAGGGTCTCTGTGTCCTTCTGTGTGCAGAGGGTCTCTGTGAACTTGCTGTGTGTGCAGAGGTGTGTGCAGAGGGTCTCTGTGCCCTGCTGTGTGTGTGTGCAGAGGGTCTCTGTGTCCTTCTGTGTGTGCAGAGGGCCTCTGTGAGCTTGCTGTGTGTGCAGAGGGTCTCTGTGCCCTGCTGTGTGTGCAGAGGTGTGTGCAGAGGGTCTCTGTGCCCTTCTGTGTGTGCAGAGGGTCGCTGTGTCCTTCTCTGTGTGTGTGTGTGTGTGTGTGTGTGTGTGCGCAGAGGGTCTCTGTGCCCTACTGTGTGTGCAGAGGGTCTCTGTGCCCTGCTGTGTGTGTGTGCAGAGGGTCTCTGTGCCCTACTGTGTGTGTGTGCAGAGGGTCTCTGTGTCCTTCTGTGTGTGTGCAGAGGGTCTCTGTGCCCTTCTGTGTGTGTGTGTGCAGAGGGTCTCTGTGCCCTGCTGTGTGTGCAGAGGGTCTCTGTGTCCTTCTGTATGTGCAGAGGGTCTCTGTGCCTGTCTGTGTGTGTGTGTGCAGAGGGTCTCTGTGCCCGTCTGTGTGTGTGTGCAGAGGGTCTCTGTGCCCTGCTGTGTGTGCAGAGGGTCTCTGTGCCTGTCTGTGTGTGCATTTCCTCACCTCTGATAATAGCTCCTTCACCAGCTAGTGCCGTCTGCTGTGGTCAAGGATTTCTCTGCTTCCATCTGTTGCACTCAAGACTTTTTCTGCCTTTAAATCATTAACTGGCAGAGAAAAAAAAAACCCAATAGAGACCCAGGACCAAGAAAATACAGCTAGTTGGTGGATCCATGTTCTAGTCATGTGACTCAGAATGAGGGTCACTTTCCTACTCAAGGCAGTGAATTGAGGGGGTGATGTAGAATAGGAAATTAGTAAGCTATGTCTGTATCATATAATACAGCTAAAAGCTGTATCTCATGTTTTGATATGAAATATCCCCACTTAGGGTAAAAAAAACCCCACACACTTTTCATCATATGTAGAATCTAGCCAAAAATATATGTAAACAAATATACATTTGGTACAGTACAACATAAGGAAGAGAACCAGAAAGGGACATCAGAGGATAAGGACAGATTAGAGGAAAAGGACATGTGTCAGGAAAGAGGACATACAGCTAATTGTTTTTCTGGGTCTATCTCTGTCATGGAATTTTCATTTTTGGTGGTAAGTGCATAAAAATATACTCCATAGCGACAAACCCTATGTGAAGCCTCACATCTTCCATTCTGAATGGCTAGTCTAACTGTATAAAAGTCCATTGAGATATATAGACCTCAAGTCTGGCTAATTTCAGTGTGTGAGTTTTTCCTATTCATGTTTCGATTAATTTCATATGGAGATATATCAAAATCTTCTACTGCGTTTCAGACATAAAGCAAAGACATTGGTGTGTCTGGGCAGTGTGAGATTGAGTTTCAGGTCTTAATTGCACTTGTAAGAAATGAGACCACAGACTGCCACACACTGCAGTGGACCGCACACTTGCTATCCTTAGATCAGTTCTGGAGAGTGAAAGATCCACCTTCCCTGACACCTCATCTTCATTTACAGACACTTAATCAGTTAGACTACATTCCTTTTCTACTGCATCATAACAGATTTTCCCAAAACTACAGCTCCAAACACATATGACTATTAAGCTTCAGTTTTCATAGGTTCTCTGTAGTTAGGGTGTGGACTGTAGTGGGTTCATTTGGGTTCCTCTTCAAATTCACAGTTATTGGCAGAATTCAATTCCTTGTGGTTATAGGGCTAGGGTCCCCATTTTCTTTCCTTTTTTTTTTTTAAAGTTTATTTATTTATTTATTTTTAATTAATTTATTTATTATGTATACAGTGTTCTGCTTGCATATATCCCTGCAGGCCAGAAGAGGGAGCCAGATCTCATTACAAATGGTTGTGAGCCACCATGTGGTTGCTGGGAATTGAACTCAGGACCTCTGGAAGAGCAGCCAGTGCTCTTAACCTCTGAACCATCTCTCCAGCCCCCCGAGCCCCCATTTTCTAATTGGCTGTCCTTTGGTTTTGGGGGGCACTCAGCTCCCCAGAGCCCCTGCCATGTAATCCTCACAAGCTGTATGTCACATCACGGCAGCTTACTGCTTCCAGACCACCAGGAGCATCTCTATCTAGCATGCTAAGAAAGAGACAGAGACAGCAAATGTGTGCCTGGCCTGGCATGCTCTCCTGGCTATAGAAGCCAGACATAGGGGTACATCACATTCCAGGAGCTGTGTATGTATGGTTCATTGGGGTCATCTAAAAATTCCTTTTATATGCAAAATAAACTTGGTCCCAACCAATTTCTGAGCCCTGAGAAGGGATAATAAGAGGGGGCTAGTGTGCACAGATATGGGAAAGGATGATGGGATGGTGGTGTGCACAGCATGGGAAAGGATGATGAGGTGGTGTGCACAGCATGGAAAAGAATGATGGGATGGTGGTGTGCACAGCATGGGAAAGGATG